ACTTACTAAAATAAACTTGAAGTATACTACTTTTTGGTAAGGGTAGCCTTTCTTCAATTTCATCATAGCTTACATCTGGGGGTTTTGCAGCACAAAATAAGCACAAGAGTCTCTGTGTGGTGAGCGCTATAGATATTGCCATAGTAGCCAAAGATGTATAGATGTGGTCAGTGCTATAATGTAGATTTGAATTGCTTCAGTATACACTCAGGAATATCTCAAATTACATTAAATGCCATTATATAAGTTGTTATGTTTTCCATCATCTTTTCTATGCTCACCGCTCTCATTTTATTGTATTACTGAGTTTAGATTATTTCTAAAATTCCTAACATTTTTTCATTGGATGGCTCTGAGATCGATTTTGTTAAAAGCTACAAATATCTTGGTATCTGGCTCGATAGCAAATTGTCATTTGAAACTCACATAAATGTACTTAAAACTTGTATTGGTTTTCTTTATCGTAACAAATCTTCTTTTACACATTCTTCAAAACAGCTTTTGGTTGAAACGACAGTGCTTCATATTTTGGATTATGGTGATGTAGTTTACAGGTCTGCTTCAAAAACTCTTCTCCTTCATAAAGTGGTTATTTACCACTCTGCAATCCGCTTTGTGACTGAAGCTTCATTTAACACTCGCCACATTTGTACACAGCAGATGCTTTCCAGATCAAGAGATGTTTAACAGACATCTTGCAGACGTACGTGTTCTTTAATTTGCGGAATTAATGTTTGATTGAATTTACAAGGACGTGTGTACATAAAAAAACATTCCTCAAACCCCCCCCCCCCCTCCCCATTTCTTTCCCTTTAACAGAGAAACACCAAATGTAAATATTTTGCCTAATTTATAATGTGCATTTTGCAACATCATATTGTCAAATCAGACAAATGTAAACTGCCAAAATCTAAAATGGCAATATCAGTCATTGGTTCTTGTGTGTATTGTGACCAAATATCATAATTTCATTAAGAATGAATGGTGAGTTTTGATGATGTTGATATGAGTCGCTCGAATTGGATTTGAGTGCTGGATTCATTTAATTAATTTGAAAAGAACGTTTTTCAATATACTCAAACTCTACTGAGTGAGTTAAATTGTTAATCATCCAAAGTGATTTTGACACACATTTTTTTCTCATCATTTTTTATCTTTTTTTTAAGCATTAAAGTGTGTTTTGTGTTCAGCAAAACTGAGTAGTATGGGTTTGGAATTACATTTTTGATTGAACTATTCCTGTACTATTGTTACAGATGGTTGATGCTGGCTTAAAGCAGCACTATGTAACTTTTGGTGCTCTAGCGGTTAATAAACAGAACTGGTGACGACCCGACCAGGCTACAATAGTCCAAATATAAGTACTTATTATAAGCAGTGTTGGGGAAAGTTACTTTTAAAAGTAATGCATTACAATATTGCGTTACTCCATAAAAAGTAACTTATTATGGTACTTAGTTACTTTTTATGGAAAGTAATGCGTTACGTTACTTTTGCGTTACTTTTTAAATCTGGACAGGGCTTGCTTGTTTGTTTTTAAAATAAAAAAGTTCTATTTTTGGCAAATATAAAAGCCTTTTCACACCAAAAGTGAAATGAATAAGCCTCAGGCTGAAGGGAAAGTACATTTACGTCTGTACAGTAGAATGCAGAAGAAGACATTTCAACACACTTCAGTAATAAAAAAAGACATAAATGTTTGTCTAGAGTAATTTTTGCTTAGTATGGTTGAACTGGATCATCAAAGGTCAGAAGCAAAGACATTGGTTAACAGAATGGGATTAAATACATAAAGGATATTTGTGTTGTTTAACATTTAATTATTGCAGGTTTGCGTCATATTCGGAGTTGCATTATTTTTATTCATTTTGAGGAATACTGAATCTGTGTTTTTGTGAGTGAGATGAATTAATGCATATTCATATTTATTTTGAACTACAGAAAAATCTTCTGACTTCTCTCAACATGGGGACCTGAATCTGTGTTTTTGTTAAATTGGAAAAAAAAAGTAACTTGCGTTACTTATCTGAAAAAGTAACTCAGATATTCTCTTGTAAATTAAAAAGTAATGCGTTACTTTACTAGTTACTTGAAAAAAGTAATCTGATTACGTAACTTGCGGTACTTGTAATATATTACCCTCAACACTGATTATAAGTGTACCGTAGTGATTCGGAATAAGACAAAAACGCATCGTACTTGCTCATTATATACATTTAGCAAATTTTGAACACAGAAAAAGTTACATAGTGCTGCTTTAACAGAAAAATCAAAAGGAGATGATGTGCTTGAAGAGTGTAAAGACACCAATGTCATGTGCGATGAAAAGAGCTCATGTTAACATTGCTATAGGACACATAACAGAGAGACATGGGTAAAGCCACAATTCCATGTTTAAGATTATTGATTGTCATACTTAATGTTCTTTCTAAAAAAATGTGTAATTTGTCAAATGTCGTTTATGTCGTTTATGTGCTGTCCCATACATGCAGAGATCATGCACTTGGAATTATGACCATTTCTGTCATTAAAAGACTATTTTCCAGTAAGATGTTTTTTTTTACAAAATATTTATTTACAGTGAATTAAACGTTTTCCTTAAACAGATTGTTCACCTGAATTGTCATTTACTTATACTCATGTTGTTCCACAGACACCATGTATGAAGGCTCTTCTTCGGATTATTAAAAATATATATTTTTTGTGTTCCTCAGAAGACAGATGGTCATACTGAAACAACATGAGGGTAAATAAATGATGACAGTGTTTTCAGTTTTGGATGAACTATTCTTGTTCGAAACTGATACTTGACAAACATCTGCATATGTGTATATTATACATTATATACATATAATGTATATAAAATATAAGTATATATAACAATATAAGTAAATTCATTTTATACAAAAAGAATTAAAAGAATACACACACACACAAACAAACAAATGTAAAGTGGATTTATATTAAAATCATATAACATTTAAATATAATAAAGAAATATGTAATTAAGTAGTTTTGTTTGTTTGTTTGTTAATACTTGACTCTTAGACATTTCACGTGTTAATAGTTTTGATATAGGGATGTGAAATGGTCCTGTTTTAAAAATTTTACAGGAGCACTTTTGTGATGCTGCAAGTGGGAGTGGAAATCTTGCTTGCCTGAAAACTGAAAAAAGAATGAGACTAACACTCTCCAAGGATGTCCAAACACCATTAGCAAAGGCTTTGTTCAGTGAGCATTAACATGCATTCAGAGTTGAATAAGAGAGTAATGATGCTGTTGTTTAAGCTGATTAATGTAAGCATTATCAACTTATAACATTCAGAGTATATGTAGTTTGTGGTGTTTTGCTTTGACTGTATGATGTTTTAATTGTTGTAAGAACATGTTGTTACATGTATTGAAAGCCTTCAGTGTGAAGTCGTTTTGGTGCAGGGAAAAAGATTTACAATGTTTACAATGTACAAAAATTAAATGTAAAATCAAGACTTATGTTAAGAGTAATGTTTTTAGGAGTTATCAAATGAACATTGTTAGTTATTTAAATTTAAGGTAGTGATATTTTACTCTGAAGAGTTAGATTAACATTCATAAAAGATGTCAGACTAACTCCATGCAGGTTAAATGTTGAACTCTGAGGTTTTTATTAACACTTTCAAAAGTGTTCAATTTTAATAGAGGTTCAAAATATGCAGGCAAATATTTTGTAATAAAGAAGCGAAAAAAAGAAGAAAAAAAACATATTGCAAGCCGTAAACAGAGAGTATTAAATATTGAGAACAATGAGGGATTTTTCTCTTAGCATTATTATTACTCTTCGATTATTTTAATGCCATCATAACCAGCACCTGATTTAAAAGGCTGTGTTCAATCTAACGCACAGCTCTGTTTTGGGCCCCTGGAAATCTATATTGGAAAAGTTATTTTCTGTCACTGTCAAGGACTATTTTTTTCTTTATAGCATTTAAACAAAAAATTGCATTTATAGCATTATTACAAAATTGTAAAATATGATTACATTCTTTTGCTTTTAATATTTGTATTTTGTGTTAATCATTCTATAAATGTATCTTGTGATGGTATCATGCATATATAATATACAGTATACCATATATATATATATATATGGTATCATGCACATAGATAGCAATGTGCTGAAACGTCTGCTTGCGTGGTCGTGTCCATCTGCTTTTAATTCACATGCACTTTGCACTTTTTGCACGATGCAATTCATAAAATAAAAAATATGTTTTTGTAGACTTTTCCAGTCTTGAGTGGATCAGTGTGCGGTTAGCCACCCTCTTGTTCATTTTCAATCATGCATATATAACTCAGGAAGTCTCTTCATTAAATCAGACCTATTAAGTATTTGTGTATGTTGCTAACAACCACTGATCTAATGATGTGAAATACCACAAAACACACATTTAAATTCAAATTCTCTCTTGTATTATTTTGTATTTCAGGACAGGGTGGACCCATGATTGCTGGCTGTGTAGGAGTTTTGCTCTAGGTAAATGTAGATTTTTTTTGCATCATAGTGTACATCTGGGGGTTTTGCAGCACACTAGCTACAGAAAAAGAAGCACAAAGTGTTTCTTTGTGGTGAGTGCTGTAGAATTTGCCATAGGTAGTAAATACCTATAGATGCAGTCACTGTAATAATGCAGATTTGAATAGTTTAAGAATACACCCAGGAATAGTAAAAATTACATTAAATGCCATTGTATGAGATATGTTTTCCATCATCATTTCTATGCTCACAGCTCTGATATTCACTGTATTATTGGTTAATATTCAGATTCAAAACATTTTGTAAAGTTTACATTCACACTTAATCTTATGTGATAATGTCCTGTTCAAAACAGAATGGATGTTGTAATCGTGAGATTTATGGCATATTGTATGAAGTAAAGAGATAACTGCAGTATCAGTATAATCTTTGTTTATGAATGACAGCTGATGTTATGTAAGACATCCGAGTGACGCACATAACAAAGTTTGGTTTAGAGTTGTATTTATTCAGTTAGCTCATGTAAAAACATGCACACATTCAATGACTGAGACTTGTCTGTGTTCTTTGGTCCGGAAAGCTCAACCCAAGCTCAACCTGATTCATGTCAATCAAATTCCACTGATAAAAGGCAAAATCGTTAGAAATAAAACTTCAGCTTTCATTAGGCGAGTAAAAAATGATCGTATTGGTGCTCTCCTTGAAGACATGTCTAATATCTTTGCTCAAAATCAACAGATATTAGGTAGTGTACTCTTAAACTATATATATATTTTGAAGATGCTGTGGTTTAAATTCATAATGTGGTCTTGTTTTAGTAAAATAATCTAAAAGGCATTTTGGGACATAGTTTATAAACATTAAATAGAGTTTTTAGCTTCTACTGTAAGATCAAATAAGGCACCTAAGTATTGATAACACTGATGGCATCTTGTGAACTTTTTGGTTTTGTGTTTCTCAGGTGCAGCATCCACTGCAGTGCAACAGTCACATTAAAACAGTTACCTCCACCTCATCCCATCCTATTCTTCACATCTGCTCAACATCAATGTAATGTAGCGTCTGTTCAATCCCTTACTCTCTCCTCCAGCGCCCTCAGCTCTCCTTCCACTTGTGCGGGCAGATCAGCTCCAACCTGCTGGGTGAGGTAGGTCCGAAGCTCCCGTGTTTCCTTCTGCCAGAAGGGTTTGGGCAGGTCAAAGAGGGCACCCATATCGATATTTCCACCTAGGCCTTCTGTGTTTATGGCACCGTTTTGTGGAATCCATCCCACAATGCTTTTGGTGGCAGCCTCGTCTTCACTGGTACAGCCGCATCGTTTGAAGATCCACTCGAGGACACGGGCGTTCTCTCCAAACCCTGGCCACAAGAAAGAGCCGGTCTTCTGATCTTTCCTGAACCAGTTGACGTGGAAGATCTTGGGGAGTTGGGTCTGGCCCTTGCGTGTCTCCATACTCAACCAGTGGGCCAAGTAGTCACCGAAGTTGTAACCGAAGAAAGGACGCATGGCGAAGGGGTCATGCATGATTACTTTACCTAAAGAAAATGAGCCATATATTATAATGTGTAAATATCAGTATGAGCTTTTTGCTCAGTTTGTCAGTAAGTGCTTAAAAGTAGTGTACACTTTTGTGTACTGTTTACCATATGGAGAAATGAAAATTTGTACCTTTGTGTTCAGCAGCAGCTGTGGATTCAGATCTCATGGCTGCACCCACAAACACACCGTGACGCCAGTTAAATGACTCGTACACCAAAGGCACACCTGGGAAAAAAGACAGGTACATTTTAAGGTATAATGTATAACATATGTCTATGTACAGTGGGTACGGAAAGTATTCAGACCCCCTTAAATTTTTCACTCTTTGTTATATTGCAGCCATTTGCTAAAATCATGTAAGTTCATTTTTTTTCCTCATTAATGTACACACAGCACCCCATATTGACAGAAAAACACAGAATTGTTGACATTTTTGCAGATTTATTAAAAAAGAAAAACTGAAATATCACATGGTCCTAAATATTCAGACCCTTTGCTCAGTATTTAGTAGAAGCACCCTTTTGATCGAATACAGCCATGAGTCTTTTTGGGAAAGACGCAACAAGTTTTTCACACCTGGATTTGGGAATCCTCTGCCATTCCTCCTTGCAGAGCCTCTCCAGTTCTGTCAGGTTGGATGGTAAACATTGGTGGACAGCCATTTTTAGGTCTCTCCAGAGATGCTCAATTGAGTTTAAGTCAGGGCTCTGGCTGGGCCATTCAAGAACAGTCACAGAGTTGTTGTGAAGCCACTCCTTCGTTATTTTAGCTGTGTGCTTAAGGTCATTGTCTTGTTGGAAGGTAAACCTTCAGCCCAGTCTGAGGTCCTGAGCACTCTGGAGAAAGTTTTCGTCCAGGATAACCCTGTACTTGGCCGCATTCA